CATACATGTGCTCTGCCGCTTTAAAATCTCCTTCTTCTTCCTCGTGTCACTCTTTCTCACGCTCTGCAAAACATTTTCTTTTTCCTCTGCACAATTTGTTTCCAGGAATATTTCCAAGACAAACCAAGCTTTAAAGCTTTCTGCTCAAAACAAGAAAAAAAAAAGAGCATCTTCTTCTTTATTTTTCTCTTTTATCTCTCGATAATCAAACGGTGGGTTTTTGTAAAACGATTCCATAAGAATATAGCAAAAAAGCTCTTTATAAAATTTTCTCTCTTTCTTCACTTTCCCGGAAAAAAAATCTTCCCTTTTTCCTCTGCTTCTATAAACACACACTCGCGGTTTTTCTTTGTAGCTTTCTATAATAAAAAAATTCTCGTTCTTTGATAAAACTTTTTTCTATAATCTCTTCTTGTTCAAGTTTCTTCCTTCTTTTCATAAAAATTCAATCTTTATTCTTCGTCTCCTTTCCTTTTTGCTTTCAAATGCTTTCCCAATCTCTCTGTTTATAAACACACTAACACAGTAACCTCACAGAGAGAGAGAGATTAGAAATGGAGTCGGAGAAGAAGAAAATGGTTCTTCCGAAAATCAAATTCACAGAGCACAAAACCAACACGACGAGAATCGTACCGGATTTAACCAACCACCAACCAAGGATTCTCCGTATCTCAGTCACCGACCCAGACGCTACAGATTCCTCAAGTGACGACGAAGACGAAGCAAAAACAACAAACCAAAGATTCGCCTCTAAACGTCGTCGTATCAAAAAGTTCGTCAACGAAGTGGTTCTCGACTCGAGTAATACCGGTACGGAATCGAAGAAGAGAAAGAAGAAACCGGTTACTGTTAAACCGGAGGTTGTTGTAGCTCCGACGGAGAAGAAATTCCGGGGAGTTAGACAACGTCCATGGGGAAAATGGGCGGCTGAGATTAGAGATCCGAGTAGACGTGTACGTCTCTGGTTAGGTACTTACAACACGGCGGAGGAAGCAGCCATGGTTTACGACAACGCCGCGATTCAGCTCCGTGGTCCCGACGCGCTCACTAATTTCTCCGTTACTCCGACGACGACGACGGAGAAAAACCCTTCTCTACCACCTTCTCCAAAGAAGAAAG